AGATATAGCGCTTTTGGTCGAGAACTGCTAGCAGTCTACTGTACCATCAAACATTTCCGGCACGCAGTAGAAGGTCGCGATTTCATCTTATTCACCGACCACAAGCCTTTAACGTATGCTCTGCATACCACGTCTGACCGCTATTCACCATGAGAGTGCAGATATTTGGATTATATCTCTCAATTCACGACAGACCGTCACGTCAAAGGCTAGTCGAACTATGTTGCCGATGCTCTGTCACGTATCCAAGTGGATGGAGTTACTTTACCGGTGCTTGGCTGCCGCCCAAGCAGGCGACTCCTTTTGTACAAAAACACATTCTACATCCCTTCAGTGCCGGGAAGTATCTCTAGCTACCAGTTCAGGTACTGTCCTGTGTGATGCTTCTAATGGTCTTCCTCGACCTATCGTACCCTCTGCTTATCGTCGTCTCGTCTTCGATGCCCTGCATGGACTGTCTCATCCTGGTATCTCAGCCACATTACGTCTCAACGCTGCAAGATGCACCTGGTCGTCCACGAATTAAGATGTCTGCACGTGGGTCAAGCAATGCTTACAATGTCATCGATTAAAAGTACACAGGCATATAGCTGCCCCCATTGGCACGTTCGCTACGCCTGATGTTCGCTTCGATCACGTTTATGTAGACATTGTGGGACTGTTGCCATCATCTCACAGGTATAATCACATACTCACGTGCATCGATCGTTTCACAAGCTGGCCCGTAGCTATTCCCATCACGTCTATTACGGCGGAGACAGTTGTTCACTGCTTCATAGAACGATGAATAGCACTGTACGGTAGTTCCTCGACTGTCACAACTGACCGAGGACAATAATTCGTGTCCGGATTATTCTCCTCACTGACCCGGCTGCTTGGTACGGAACGCATACGTACTACTGCCTACCACCCAGCATCAAATGGTTTAGTTGAGTGGTTTCATCGCCAACTTAAAAGTGCTCTTTGAGCACACGAAAACGACAATTGGTACGAAACCCTACCGCTCGTTCTCTTAGGTATCAGAACAAGCTTAAAGGCAGATACCCAATGTTCCGCCGCTGAGCTTGTATACGGCAGGACATTGCGTCTGCCTGGGGAATTTTTCACACCACGGAGCAGTAACAATTTCGGTAAATCCTACTACGTCCATCGACTGTCTGCATTTATGCGAACATTGTCTCCGGTGTCAACTCGAATACTACATCGACAGGTCGCTCTCCCTCGAGAATTATCTACTTGTTTACATGTTTTCATATGAGTAGATTCGGTACGCAAACCTTTGCGACAGCCTTACGAAGGACCTTTTCACGTGATCTCTCGTCACGAAAAGACCTTCAAGGTTGATCGACATGGCCGCGTCGAGGTAGTCAGCATTGATCGTCTCAAGCCAGCACACGTCGATGACAGTGCCCTACCTGATAACTTGAGACTCAATGCTAGACCTATCAAATCTACTAGCGGGATCTCTACATCTACTTCAGATCCCACGCTAGATACATCAGAGACCTCATTCTCACGTCCCAGTCAACAGCACACGTCATCTGCACCATCTAGGGACGAGACTTCGGTCTCACGTCCAGATCAGCAGACCACGCGGCTCTTGACTTCGGATGAGATTGCAGGTTCATGAGGTACGAACGAGACTACCGTCTCAGGTTCTGGTCACCGAGTACGCCCACCTGTACGCTTTCGCGACTAATCTCTCAATCAACATTGGATACGGTATAGGACTCTATCCCTATACTACATGCATGCTACACCTTTTCTCTTTTCCTTTGATTTTGTTTTGTATCCTGAGCCCACGCCTCCGACCATCGCTCGTTTGGTACCATCGGCTTCAGTCAACCTTGGCGAAAGCTGGCCTGATCACCCACGATCTTGTCAACGCACTCGGTCGATATTCTGGTTTCGAATCTGCCTGGCATGCGTTTGGTCTCAAACTTGGTTGTCATGGTCGCTCCTGGTTTCTTGGCTCAATGTGGTTCCGTCCTACGTCTGCAGCGTTCTCTGGTCCAGATCCCTACGAACGCAACCCTCAGATCCTGGATACAAAGCACTCTGGTGTGGTACGCCAACTCGAGCGACAAATACAGCACGCTTCTCCTGGTACTGTTCCACGTAAAGGACCTTCTGTGGCAACTCGAGGATCAACGATCGCTTCGTGACCTTCCAACCCTTTCGTCCTACAACCGCACGTTTGCCGACCAGTCCCTGCTACGTATCAAAAGTGTAAACCCTTTCTAGCTGGGGACTTCTGTGATGATCTACTTTTATGAAGAGAACGCGATTGGTTTGATGGAAACAATCATTATTATAACCAATTGTACCAGTGATTGTTTTATTGTACCTATTTGTTTAATTGTACTAAAAACACCCTTTGTTTGTGACTTTGCACGAACTCTTATGCTCAGTAGTCTTGCCTGTAGATTTTGACACGGTCTCTGTATTCTTTCGATACGACGAGATCGCCGACAAATACTTCTGAACTACAATCTTCAATTGCCTTCTGATATTTGGCTTACGGAGGTGTCTAACCTGGTAACTGGCACGTAGTCGATCTGTAGTGGTGATCATAGTCAACTGCGACTCGATGCCAACTACATACGGAAGCCCATTAAGCGAAAGCTTCTGTTTCGTCCATAACCATTTGATTGGTAACATTAATTGATTTTTTGACCGGTATTGTACTGCTTGTAGATCAACAATGTCGGCGATCTGTGTCGATGATTGCGATCTACTCGTGTCAGACGGGAATGATGCAACTTCTTAGCTTACGTTTAAGTCACACGTCGTGATTAGTACTTAACCTGGATTATTCTGTAGTAATAGCCAGGTTTATGAAGTTCCCAAATGACTGATCAGAATGAATACTCCTAATGGGCAACAGTATATATAGTATTAACAGGTTACAGAAGTACAAGGCGGGATCATTGTCACACGTGCCTGTCCTTGAGATGCAATTGGTTTGCTAATCATCCATGATCTTGATGATGTCCGACAAACTGTTCAATGACCATTGATCTGTCGTCTAACGTAGAAATGGTTCAGCTTGATAGATTTGTCTAGTGCTCAGTTACATCTCATTGGTCCAACATGTCTGTAAAAACAAACGTTAAAATTATACTTAAAGGACAATTTTAGATGGTACCGTTCGAATTTTTGAGTGATATGTAAAGTTTTATGTCCGCTAGCTTAGAAATAGGATGTGTCCATGGATTTTTAGGTTTCTCAATACACAATACGTGTATGATATCAGTCATTTTCGATCTATTTTCCGTTCACTATGTGGATGAGTGTCACATATTTCTCCGAGGTTTTCATCGCAAGTTCTAACTGTCACCTTATTTATTTTGCATCTGGCAAGATGGGATGCGCCACAGTGGGTTGTTAATAAGAGACATGTGTATTTAGCTTGAAATGGTAGGAATGAAGTCCCGAGTGAGAATCATACTTTTATGTACATCACTCATTAAATGAACGCGAAAATGCTCAAAAATGTTAGATATTGCACTTACACTGAAAATTGGGAAGGGTGGATGACCTGACACAGCTTGTATTTTATTGAAATCTAAGTAAAACTGTATAGTATTGGTTACTTTGTTAAGGCCATATAACGTATTCTAACTTCTGAACTGGCGAATTTATCCATTCTTCTTGAGTCGCGCTTTGACCTTGTTAATTATTCACTTATCAACCCTGACTTTTTATATGGGCGTGTGTGTGTGTGTACATCTTATCCTACTCATCACATATCTGTAAATTATTTTTGTGTGACTATAAATATTGATTAACGTATGGTTAAATCTAGTTGGGTCACTTGCCTCCTCCACTGCGCGTCCTTCTTTTTCGCTTCATTCGCTGCAATTCTCTGATTGTTCCGATCAACGAGTGTACAAAATATGCGTATCCAGAAATCCATTCCCGTATTTGACTTATTTAATTACGTTATTCACTAACGCGAGTTATGTCGATAATTTTATACAAGGATAGCTAGGATGCATATTTTGACAACAATCATTCATGCAATCTAATTAAAGTAAGATCTTAGACCACTAAAACTGGCTACATCTGGTTTTCATGATGTTTAAAATTGCTAAACATTTCTGCTGTGCAACGACACGGTAAATTCAACGTGGTAGAAAAGTTAAATCACTAGAAACATATGCCATAAATGTAGATTACATTCAAAACTCTTATTAATAGAGTCATATGAGGAGTGGCGTTCTATCGCACTTACATTGATTTTAATATTGGCGAACTTATCATGAACCTCAAACCACTTAATGAAGGTTTACATACATTTCAATATTTCGGGTTTTCCGATATAAATTGTTCATTTTGTATCACTTACATTCTGACAGGCCCGGAAATCGCTTATATTCACAACATATCACGATAACATTTGGACTCGTTGAATGATCAGTCACGAGGAAGTAGTTGTCAGGACTCATCAAAACGCGACGAAAACTTCAGGAATATTTCCTAAATATTATATTACCGGTTTTTATGATATATTAGACACATTGCTTATTTCCTAGAGCCACAAAAACTATTAGTCATTGGTAGTTACAAAGGTAAATTAAAACCGATAACGCATATAGGAATTCATAAACACAGAACCGATATACCTTAGTTTCAGGTTGTGAACCGAACCCATAACGTAAGCTTTATTGGTGTTACTTGACTGTGTGGCCAGGGATACATGAGGCGTTTTGGGAACCACAACAAGATAGTTCGGATTCAAGTACATAACTTATTAAACTATAGACAGTGAAGAATGAATGAAGTTTTGATCTACTGAAGTGAAGACGTTCAGTAGTTGTTTATAGCACCACTATGATATAATATAAATCAATAATTTGATAACCAAATCTATTGATTATATCAAAACTAAGTAATAATAATCTATCTGTGGCGTGCGCATAACCAATATTTACAATCTTAGAATAGAATATTTGTAGTTTATGAAGTTGAATTTAGAAAAGTTTAAGAGGTAAGTAAAACAAAATATATGTATTGAAAAATAATACAAAACGTCCTCTCTAATGTTAAGAATATTTTATTTTCAAAATATTCAATGACTACATATGTATCTCCTTTTAGTTATAAATTGTTTACGTTCCTAGTATTTGCCCGTTACTATGCTAATAATTCTTTATTGAAAGAATAATGAATCAAATTTCAGAATACATAAAGTTTTAAATCATATCCGTTCAATTTTATGACATTAAATTCATAAATTTACCTAAAGCACCTTCGCTGCTATCCTGACCGCTGCTATTATTTATACAATACAAATCAGATGAGATATTTGAATTTTCAGCCATTGTGTTATTACATTTGGACAGTTCAGTACTGGTGAATTCAGAATTATTAGAATATTGATTAAAGTTGTTTGAATTATTATCAGAATAGTCATATGAACTGTTCTCATTATTATAATTATTTGAATTTCTGTTAGCAGCGACCATGAATTCAGGCCATTTATAATCACTTGAATAAGTTGTTTCATTTGACATTTTAACTGTTGGTGGAACATAGTAATCCTGGGGTCGGAATTGATTTATTTGTTGAATAGGTGGTAGTTTTGAAAATCCCTGATGGTATGTTGTATTTGAATAATGATCATTTACTTTATGTCCATCAGAAGTTTGTGGATAGTTTCTTTTTGTTTCAAAAAGAGTGTTATGAAAGTTTACTTTTGGTAAGATATTACGTGAATTCGTCGTTTCAGTGTGAACATTTTCATTGGGTTGAATAAATTCACTGTCATTCGTGTATGGATTTGAATCCGGTTCATAATAATTCACATAATCAATTGAATAACTTGTTTTCAGGTCGTTATTAATCAAATAATTTATTTTCAGGTTATCTTCTTTCACTATTGGTTGGAGTTTTGATGGATTTTTTATTGGTCTAAAGTCGTCAGTATAAGAAGTTGTCGTATTCATCCGAGTAGCAGGGTACATATATGAAAAACATGTGGTTGGTGGGCAGCTTTGGTTACCTTTGTACTCTCTAGATGGCGGACGGAATTCTAGCTGGTAACTTGTCTTACTGGAAAATGGTACGCTTGGATGCTTGTAACGATATATGGGTTTTAAATTTTCCGTTTTCTTTGCTTTGCGATATTGAAATTCCTCTGAATATGAAGAAGTCTTATCCATTGGTAGTTTTGAAACTTTTAGATTTGATTTAGGCAATAATGGATCCTGTTTTTTCGCATATCTCGGAATGAAGTCCTCAGCATAAGATGACTGTGAAACTACCGGTAGACTTGGTGACCTGTAAATTTCCGTAGGTTTATATGACACTGATGGTTCTGGTGTAACTGGTGTAAAGTCAGTTAGATATGTGGTTTGACTGGATAAAGCTTCATCACTAAGCCACCTGTTTTCTTTTTGTTTTATAGGATGTAACTTTTGTGTATACCTAGGTGGAAACTCATCCATATAACTCGTAATCATTTCATTATGAGCACGAGGCAAATGAATATTATCTTGGGGGTAGAATGGGTCATCTTTTTTAATGTGCCATGGTCTGTAGTCTGAATTATAGGCAGTAGTGTTTTCCATTTTCATTCTAGGTTTCCGGTACTCATAAATGGGTTTAAAGCTATCAGGTTTTGAGAATAGATGAGGTTGAAACTCTTCGGAATAACTCGTGTTTTTCTGGAATGGTACTTTAGGTTGCTGATAGACATAAACAGGAGAGTAAGATGTTGGTTTCGACTGTGGTTGGAATGTATAGTCCGTTTGGTAACTTGTTTGACTGAACATAGGCTCTGTAGGTGTTCTATACTTTCTATACGGTTTGAAGCAGTGAATAGGTTGGGCCACTTTTGGTGGGTAGTCTGTGATATAACTCGTTTCACTTTGAAAATTGCCTCTTGGAAAATTTTCGTGGTCTTTCATTCGGAAAGGCATTTCTTTAGGTGACCAAGGAGGATTCTCATATTCTAAATGATAGCTTGTCATGTTCGACATTGGCACTGAAGGAGGTACGTAGGCTTCGTATGGTTTAAAACTTCTTTCCATCTGAGAATAACGGGGTGGGTAGTCTAGATTGTAGGTAGTGTTTGTGTCCATAGGTTCTCGTGGCGGTAAATAAAACTCACTAGGTCTATAATCATCAACTTTATCCAACTTGTAGGGCTGATAATCATCTTGGTAAGTACTCTCTAGTAAATCATTGTCATGAGGTGATTCCCACTGTGAGAGGGGCATAATCGGGTCTTCTCTATAAAACTTATCATAAGGTTTATAGTCTTCAGTATAACTTGTCAGAAAAGGATCAGCCGCCGTAGGGTTCAGATTATCATGATTTTCAGCATTTATGGCCATATGATCGTCATCATGTTCCGTAGGATAGTTGATTACGTCGTTGTACGGATTAACCATAGTTTCTGTATTTGTGTGTATATTATGATCATTTTCTGTGTTGTCATATTTCCAGTCGTTGGGATAATGTTTCTCAAGCAAATCAGGGTGATAGGGTGGATCTAAATCCCATGACTTTACTGCTTTAACAGACGAAATAGAATTTATATTTGGGCTCTTGTAAGGGTTATAATCGTTTATTTTTTGAAAATGTTTATAAGCATATCCATTTTCACTAAGTGTTGGATTTGTTATTGTATCACTAGACATGAGAAAATATTTTGATCAAAGCAGGATAATTGATTAAGTAATTTCTAAATAAGAATAAAAAGAAAATTGAGAATTACAATTTTTAAAAACCAAAACTTGGTATTTTACATGACTTGCAAAACACATGAGGATGAATAAGGAAAAGATAATAGTGTATTTAAACCTAGAAAACACAGTTGTTCTCAGTTATGGATATTACGAACTGTCTGAAGCTCTGGCTTGGACCCATATTAAACGATCTAACCATATGAAATATACCCTTTAATTCAAGCCTCAAAGCAAGAGTTGAAAGGGAGGTAAAGACAAAATGTCATTTGACTTAATTTTCGGCCAAGAATTTGACGGATATGGAATAAGATCTTTTCTTTAACCAAGTTGTTTGAGGTTCCGCTTAAACAATAAATTAAATGATAATCAGTATAATTATTCTTGTCCTCAATAATGAATGAAGTCTAAGATTGCGATCGCTAAGCTGGGTAATAAATTTTTGCAAGGGCATTCTGTTTTATGTATAATCAAACATTTGTTCAACAAGTGATAACAGTATGGTAGTAGTCTTTAGTATATTTGCAAATGTGTTTAGAGTAGTATACAACGGAAACCAGATTGATCATAGGAAATTATTTCTGCAGTCTGTGGTGAAAATCACCATAAGTATTAACAAAAAGCTTGAATACAGTAACCCAAGATAAGTCCTTTAGTTGTTAATTGATTTACGAATAGTTATTTCCTGTTTTAAGATAGTAGCAATTAACTGATGACACGGTGAGAAAATTCAAAACAAAGTTTAGGACTCGTTCTTAAGATGTGTAGTACATGCTTGCTACTTAGCTAATCCCTTATTGAACACAACATATTTACAGTATGTAGTGAAAGTATCGCCAACTTCGTAAGTAATCATAAGCAACCAATTGGAGATATTCTATGTTTTTTGTGGAATCCGACAGGTGATGTCAATATTTCCATTCAACTTTCAGTCGATTTTTAGTAGGTGTTCAAACAAAAGAAACGGGTATAAGTCAATATTTACTTGAAGCTTCAATTAAATCAACCGACAAGCTTCGTCAGCTAGACTAATCGAATAGTCGAGCAGATATGTTTTACTTGGACAAGTTCATTTCAGAACTCAGGACTATTAAAACAAGTAAACCCTGTTTAAGCTGTCTAAAGTGAATAATGAAACTAATGATTGGTGGCAAAATTACAAAGGGTTTATAAATTTACATGCGTTTAGTGAACCAACATCATAGAGCATAATGAATTCAATATAAAATCAATATTGAGCCAGATGAGCATTTAAATATCCAAATTGATTGATAGAGTTCGCTAGGCAAATTCAAGTTCAATGTATCATTGTAAACTGCGGGCACCGTAAAGACTTACATTTCAATTATCATTGATCAGTGAAGAAGATTTCACTAACTTCTAGACTAATAATCCGTTGTCCGCAGGTTCTTTTTTATATTATTCAATTAATCATAATATAGAAACTACTTCTGTGAATTTCTATACTAAACTTTCGCAGTATTTAAGTTGTAAGGAGTCAGATGATAAGTCATGCATTTTTTATTTAGTGCATATCAATTCTAACCATTCGAAAACAGGGGAATAATTGGTGAGTATAAACAATAAATAACATAAGCCAGGATTAATGTGACCAACTGATTCAATAACATCTCATTTATTCTTGACTAATATGAGTTCAAAGTAAATTCTCTCAAATTTTATTAAATTAAGCAAAAAATCATTCATTATAATTATTAAAAATATTCACTACCTATTTTAATGACATCAGGTAATTTTACTGATTAACAATTAGTGAATGCGCAAACTATTTTGCACGCCAAATTACAATAATTTAGTACGTTTATTCGACCATTAAGTTTTTTAAAACAAAATTGTCATAATATACATATCCAATTGTTTTAATATAAAAAACACCACAAACTTCTAATATAAGCAAAGATGGATATTGGCTAGCAGTGGAATCTAGGACGGGCATTTCGTCCTATTTGGGACACGTCAGCTGGATGTACCTGCGTCTCAGAGTTGATGTTCACTCTGGGACTCAAACCCAGTGCCGTTGGCTTCGAATGCCATTGCGTTTTCCACTTAGCTGCTGAGTCCTGATAGCCACTTGTTTGTGCAGTGAGGTGATGGGTTTCACTGCTAGCCACTATCAATCTATGCTTTTAATGCTTGTGAATTAAGGCAATATGAAGGTAATACACACAGTATGCATATACGCCATTAAGAGACTGATCAATTGCAGTCCTGAACATCAATGGGAAGATTCAAGTAAACAATACCAAGTGAATTTAAACTTCTGGTGTGTTATACTTCAATACAAGTTAGTATAAATGAGTAAGTAAGTAACTTCTGAACGGACAAATATTGTAAGAACAAAATTATCTTAGTACATTGTAGTTGACTTTTGAGTAAGTTATTTATTGTTAAACTGAATGGTCTGTTCATATTTCAATACTTTGAAAATGTTCTCATAAGTTAACTGTTTATAACTCTTGAAAATTAAGAACATGAAATTTGTAGGTTGAAAAGCTATGAAGTTCAAACGTTTTGTAAGCTATAATATAACGATAATGAATGAAGTTGAAAGGAAAATCTTTTCTTAGTCGAACTAAAGTTCATGGTTTACAGAAGACCAAGTCATAGGAAACTTAACTTTGGTTATCTGTAGATGGCATTCGTCAGGGATTGATTTAAATTGGGTGACCATTATAAAATCGAGGACGCTTGAAAAGTTGCTTAGTTCTACTATGTGGCTCTGGAGAGGTGAACGCCGATGATAGCATCAGAGAACAAACCTAGGACCTTTACATCTCTGGTCAAACTCTTTATCATTAAACTCCTAAACTGATGTTCATTGATACACCTCAACTTTGTTTAACTTATAGATATCACTAATCATGGAGTAAATCACTTTATTAATCTGTGATGGTATTAGTTGAAGTGGGATCCCCAGGAAATCTTAAACCTCAGTTTCATGCTCATTGATATAATATTATCAAGGAAACAAAAATCCAAAAGAATCCATTTCCTGTCAAATATTAGGATGTGTATCATCATAGGACATTCTTCGGAATAAAGGGATTTATGAATCATAACATATATTCCTTTGACTACATTGGTATAGTAAAGAAAATTTAACAATAAAGTTTAGTCAGTAATACCAGGTCGATTATAATATAGCATGGAAAACTTGTGATGATAAATTAATTTTTCGAAACCTTAAAAGTACTATTGTTTCTTTACTTCCTTAAAATGATGTATTCAAGTCCATTTTATGATAGAACGAGCTAAAATATATAACAAATTATTGAATGGAAAACTTCTCTATCTTTTATTAAATAAATGTGAAGACACATTGTGATTAAGAGATAAAATTTATTGATTAATAGGATATCAGTTAATTAAAGTTGGTTGAGTTGACTGGTAAATCTCATTTACAACTGATGCGAATTATTTAGAGACTAATGGATATAATTAGGTACTTTGAAAGGTTATTTAGTACTGAGGTGTAAAGATTGATCTTTTATCATCTATATAATAAGCGAACTTCTTTCAACCTATACTGTATATTAGATAAAAATAAATCACTTAGAAAAATAAGTCTTTATTTAACTATCCCCAATTTGAGTAAAACACACCTGTTACTACATTTTCTTTCATAAAAGTTTAATGTACAACTAAATTATTAAAACTTAATAAAACAAAATGTCCCAGAATTTTTGAAAATAATTTGTGATCTGTAAATTCAAACAATGCTAACAATATCATTAAACAAAAGAATTTACTTTCTATTTATCTGTTTATTTCAATCAAAGAACTTTAAAAAAAAACTTATAATAGTGGGTCATTTTTATTAATAGATAGAAGTGAATAGAAAGTTTCTGTAGTCGTGCTCATTATTGAGTGAATACTAAAGATTGATAAAATCACATCAAAATTAGTTATCAACAGTATATGGGGAGAAGAAGACAATGAATATGACTTGATGAATTGATGAAATTACCCATACCCTTAGAATTGCTACTGTTAGGACTAAGTTAGTGTATATCTTTTAAGTTTAGTGATATTTAGACTAAGTTTCCATCTGTGATGATATTATATTCGTCAAACCCTAACAATAAACCAAATAATTCACTTGATATTGTTTTTTATATTTATTTGAATCTTCCCATTGATGTTTAGGACTGAAATTGTTCAGTCTCTTATTGGCGACGAGTCCCAAATAGGACGAAACGCGCGTCCTGGATTCCACTGCTAGCCACTATCCATCTTTGCTTATAATAAACCAAATATTTTCACAATGATTTAATAGTTGAATTCATGAGCTAATTCAAGCTAGACCACAGTGGAAAACCTGGAAGCACTGGAAGGCCTTTTCGCCCTACTATAGGACTCCCTAGTAGTGTGCATCCACGATCCCGCGTCGCGAGATTCGAACCCATAACGGCAGCTTTACGCTGTTATGAGACAGAAAAACCTAGTTTTAAGTATGAATGATAAATAGATGTTTTGATCGATAACTGTTGATATTTTTTGGTGAACGATAAACAAACAAGCTTAAATAAAAATAAAGAAGCATCTGTTTTCTGTAAATATCTCATTGATTACATTAATTACTGAAAACCAAGTCAAATGAATGTATTTTACTATTGCATATTTCGTAGTTAGAAAAATAAAACTTTAATCCGTAGGTTGTATTCACTCCAGACTGATCTCATTCGGTATAACATTGAAAGCCAAGGAGCATTGAAGATTTGTTCTTTTCCCACAAAACACCGAACCCAAGACCTTCTGGTCTTTCCGTGAACATATTACCGTTAGAACCACTGAGAAGAGATCTAATGGTACAATTTCAAATTTGATCAATTTACTATGTAGTGTCGATTTAATTCATTTATACATGGTAATAAGTATAGACTATTTGCTGATTGTTTAATAGTCATTGTATTTTTAAAGAATTGCTTTTAGCTTATTCTCCAATGTCATTCTGACCTTAATAATAGTAAGTGTAATAACTCTTGGTTAAATATACACACTTCCTATTGATTCTGAATGAAACTATCCTGTATACTTAAATGTCTTGTTATCAGAACAGAAATCTCTTATTTATTCTATTAAAACTTATTTTAATATTGAGGTCAAAAAATATAACCAGTTTCTATTCACTGATCAATAAATGTCCTTATTCCAATTATAATAATGTCAACTACCATACAAATATCCCACCTTTAACATCCTGACGAATGTTTATGTGCGATGATGAACAGTATAAATCAAAAGCTATAACAGAGTATTACTTTCATTGCTAATGTATATGTATACTATCGCTGACGTGTACAAAGTGTAGAACTATGTGTCCTAATAATTTCAATAATACGTCCAATTACAAAGTATGAAATTTCACAAACTGGCTAGTTTCTGATTCACAACACTCTAGACCTATCTATTCTCGGACTGAAACCTATCTTAATATTAGTTTGAATGCTATTTCAGAATCCATATTTTAAATACTGCTTAGATATTTGTTTCCCTTTGGTTTAAGTGGACTAACTTTAATAAAATGAAAGGTTTACTATAGTGCTCTCAATAAATCAATAATAACGTATTGTGTTTTAGCTGACCAGCTAGTTACATCTGAAAAGTTAATTTAAAATTCTACATACATTTTTTAGGTTATACAACAGACTGACCTTAGTTTAGTAACCTTTGGAAACTAAGAGGCACTGGACATGTGTTTTCTTCCGGTATGAAACTACCCAGAGGTGCGGATCCACGACTTCAATACCACTGGTGAGCCAGTCACCCATTCTTAGCATTAAGATAATGAATGGATGTCGCTGACATAACATTTCTGTAAACAAATCACTGATTAAATTAATGGATGCGTCTCATTAATCACGTCGGAAAAGTGGAAAAATTAAGCCCAAAATTTTTTTGTTGATAACCTTAAAATACTAATTCAATCTTAGTTAAACAAAAGTATGAACAGACACAATTTAAGATTGATTTTCATCACAATGTGATATCAACTAAAGTACCATTTATAAATAAATAGTACTAGAAAAGTGTTTCATTCTAGTATGGGAATCCTCAGCATTGGGTAATGTTTCATGAACTAGAAACTATTTCCATTACAAATTTATAAATCTTTGTTAATAAGTTGTTACTAGCTTCGGGATTTATTATGGATTAAAGTGAATATAGATACTAAACTTAAATTATTCACAATACGTAATATTGCTGTAAGACATTATAGTTAAAAATCATTAAAAAATATAATTCAGAGCCGTAAAATATGTAAGTTACTAGCATGAAATAAACTTACTTGACATATGTTGACTATGTTTCTCCTAATAACTGTCTCCACTAAATAATAATGATAATAATAGGAAAAATTAGAATAGCACTCATAGTTTTTAATTTCAAGGACATTATAATAGGTATGCACTTTCTTTCATTAACAAATGTATATCAGTTATTATAACAAAATATCACGTGAGCACAACTGTAAACCAATAAACGACTCACTATGTGGTAAGGTATTTAAAAAATTTTGCAAACATTTGTAGTACAACTAACCTTTTTGTAAATGAGAAATTTGATAACGTGATAAGTACAAGAGATATTTTTAGTTCATTGGTTTTTGGAGATTTGGTCATTTTGAAGAAAACTTTCTTAACAAACTGACAGCTAATGGGACATTGGAAACCAAAAAGTACTATATGATTGTTTCGTTTTATACTAGGATTCTTCAGCATTCGATAACCAATACATATAAGATTAAAGTTCACTTTCGGGTCTGGTTTTTGTTTGCACCATAGAGCCATAATCCAGCGATCTACACTTCTATTCGTTTCACATTACATCAATGACAAAGATAGCATTTAGTAAAGATTTTAATTCTGATGACTTTTTTTCAATAGAACTGATTCATCCTTTGGTCGTCATCCTATTTGTAACCTAGGTGATATTCACTCTCAGTGATCAAGTATTTGGATTCTTTGGTAGTTCCGAGCTATGAAATCTATTGTTGTTGTTCTGAGCCAAGTTAGTGTCTGCAAACCATCTGACCGGGGTCCGTTTGACAATCATGATCAGTACTTAGGGACCTTGGCTAAATATCATATGATGTACACTATCAACAAGTTTCATATTAAGGATAAAACTGTCATTTCTGGTTTGTAATTTTTATCTACTTAGTTAGTTCATGCTTTAAACTACAAAGCAAATCATCTCCTGGAACTTTATTCATGCTATTAAAAACAATGTTTACACAATAAAGATTATACGAAAGTATACTGCGATTGAAAATTTAATTTAAAGTTCAGCGTTTCGTCCGTAATTTAATAATTCTATGAAATCTCTATGAAACGTACCAAGATTTATGAATGGAAAAATTAAATGCTGTTGAGCAAATTCCCTGAAAAAGTAAATTATGGATCACATCAGTACATTTAAAATACGGTAGAAAGAGTTATGAACTAATCTGACTATTTCTCAAATCACACAAACTGGTGCATAGAATTTACGTAACACCATTACTTTGGAGTCTCATAAATTTAAAAAGTTTCGAAAAACCATTGACGGTTAGGTCAGAATTTTCATTTTTGCTAGTATGGTACTCCACAAGAGTGGGTATATCTACAAAATTACATTGAATTGAAACAATAATTAAAGCATCACACTATCTGTCATCTTTGAATTTATTCAGTATTTAACGAAGTTATGTTTCATTCTAATTCACATGGAATTAAATTAGACAATGGGTTTAAATATATGTACTGATCAACCGGTTTTTTATTTTAGGATTCCTGATTGGGGATTCAACTGATGCAATTATGAAAGTAAGCTATATTCATGAAACAACTTCAGACAAATAAAAAGTGGATGCTAACGAGTGATGGATAGACAGGGAGTTGTGATTTGAGATTTCACAACATTTCAAAACTATCACTCCTCATAGAACCAAGTTGCAGAAACCCAGTTTTCATGACAAGTATGATACCTTTTAATCACTCCAGCTGATATAGAAAAATTTACTTTAATAATCAGCCTCTCATTAGTAAATAACTCTATGATGTATTTCCTGGAGTTTAAATTAGAAGTAATAATGTTAGAAGTGAAGGAATAAGAGGTCGATGACATTGGATGTAGATCGTGCGTTATCAAAAAATGGTTGGCTTTATGTGAATATATCATTGTGTTCCAAATTCTTGAACCAATGAACTTGGGTTGGAGGGATAACTGGGTACTGCTGAGGAATCATAAATTGGGATAAATTAGCCATCCAATGTTCCTCAGTTTTGAATTATCCATGATCAAAGGTTATCTACATATTAAGCAGAAAGCTCTTCATATAGTTAGTTCATTCATCAAATATTTTGGACACAATGATGTACTCATTTTTTTTTATTGTCTCAAATTATTTAATTTCCGTGTTTTTTATATGATAACCTAAGGTGAAAAAATGTCATCTGACAATAATCAGGTGATAATGAGAGTTATTTAATTACCCTTGTAATTAAATTCTTGGAAATCTTTTAGCCTTTTATTTAATCATTTGCGCTCCCTATATTTAATCTATTGATTGTTTGAAATTTAAAAATTTTACATTATTTAATCAATAAGTCTTCATTTAGATTAGATGTACCTTGTGTGAGAGTAACAACAACTTGACGGCCTGCTTGAATATGTAGGCTACCTGTTCCTCCTATCTAGATTTTTCAACAAGTTATCCATTTTTGTTTGTTTTAATACATCATCATGTCTATTAATCGCATAACCTACTGAAGTGCACTTTTGAAAAGTGTACAACCTTTCGTTGTATAAGTTACAAAAGGCCTAATCAGAGATATCGTGGTTGTTGGCAATATGCAGCTAAAAGAATGTACTTTATTTCGATGTCTATTTGTTAAACTGCTAACATCTAACTGGCGATCAGTCAATATCGATTAAGAAGTAAGAAACGGAAACTTGTTGAAATAACTCATAATGAGAATTCTATATTGTATCAAAAATATAATATTGAATAAAGCTAATAATAGTAATAATAATAGTAATTTATAGTTGTAACCAATTGGTATTGGAAAAGAGTGCATTATTACCTTGAAATTAACTTTTTTGATAAAACTGTGATTATCAAAACCTATACTGTTTAGAATAGTCTTAAATATTAATTTTTGTACTCTAATAAAGCAAATGACTCAAGTTCTAAAACAAATTTAAGACACAATAGCCTATGAGCTCTAGTTCTCAGCAAAGAAAATGAGATTTTTGTTAGTGCTTAACTTGCTGAAGTAGTTGGATAAATTTCAACGGATTAACTAATTAAGAAATTAATGATTTGAATCTATTGACTATTTCAATTTTATGTCAGATTCATTAATAATCTTATTAAAATTTTAGGTATTTATTCACTGAGTTGTTTCGTCAAACAAGTAAAGTATTTATTTATTTTTATTTTAACACATAGATATTGTTACAAGAAGGCACCAAATACATATGCGCCACACAGATCTCATTGGATATGTGTGAGGGCTGTAATATTGCCCGGGTGCCCAAACAGAAGCAGGTGGTTTCCTTAGGATGCCACTCCCTGAGCCTTCGACCTGAAGATCTGATCCACAAGGCAGTGGAGCATCGTAAGGAGATGCAGTCCCATGGTAAACGGTGACCAACGATTGGTTCATACGCCACTTGTTCCCTCAAGATACTGAAGCCATGTGCACCGTTGGTTTGGGATCCGGTTAAAACGCCGGACATTCACTTTTCGTCCTCTCATCTTCGTAAACAACACCGGCGCCACGAGAAGGCAATGAGCAGGACTTTCCTGGCAGAGGCTATATATGCGTGGCCGTGTGAGAGCATTTCGAGAGGGAGAGCGGATTCTCCCCACTCTCGGCAGTACATGTCGCTAAACATAAACTCATTATACATTGAAAAATAGGGTATTCTTTCCCTGTTTAACTAATTAAAACATTACTGAAAATGAAGAAAAAAAGTACTGGTTTAGAAAACAGTATTATGGTTTAAATAAGAATCATTTACAAAATACTTACTTGTATACATTCATGATTTTCACTATGTGAAATTGATTTTGTATAACATCAATTAACAATAAAACCATTTGTGTAAAAGAAGAATTATTGACTAACATTAGATTATATTAGATAGGATGATGAAAATCTCGACACAAGAGATAGATAGATAGATATATTGTGCATCCATCATACTAAGCTAACTGAAGTTAAGATACCAAAAAATATAAGACAAAGTTATCAGTGGACTGTATCTTGTTGAAATTAATTCTCTTCATATTCACAAGATATTGGATGGTTATCTTTCTTTTTTTTCTTCTGAAACTTTCAAGTTACATTCTTCTTTTCTTTTGTTAAAATATTCCGTATTAAATCTTTCAAAATTCAAATAATGTAGATTAGTCATTGGAACACTAAATGTAATCTTAGCTATTGTGAAAATAATCTAATTTTTATTTTTCATGTTTTTATAATCAATTAATTATTCATTTACTGATTTGTGGATTAGTGTTTTTGTAACATAAATATTTACAGAATTTAATTAGTTACTTATTAGTACTATTGACACATAATCAACATTCATTATGTACCTATTCTCATACTTTATAATCCAATGATAAATACACATTTTGTTTCATAATATCTGGGGTATATATTGAAGTTAATGTAAATCATAATGAGAATAATAATAATTATGATTAAAAGAACGTGATCGTTTTATTACTGTAACACATGATCGCTAATTTTACCATATATATATATATATATATATATATATATATATATATATATATATATATATATATATATATATATATATATATATATATATATATATATATACATTGCTTTTACAAGCAAATTATTAATATACAAGGTCAAGTTATTTTCATTTCTTTTCTCTATTCAATTGTATACAATAGATATATTTACATTTATATACTACTAAGTCTATAGAGCATTATCTGATTTACAAAAAATAGAGAGATAGAATATGTCAATTGAATTTTTAACCAATAAACAATTAAACGATTGAATGAAATAAAACAAAAATGGAAAAGTGAGTAAAAAAATTTAAAAAAAATGTAAATCAATTGAAATTGCTACATAAAAGTAAAATAAATGTCAGTCAGCCAATCAGTCAGTTAGCTACAACGTAGGACCAGGCATACCTCATTAGCACAGCAAGATGAACACCGAATTCATAGAAGTAGTTAATTTAGTGATGTGCATTTTTAGGGTGAACCTTTTCTAACCTCACTCCTCCTTGTGAGAAGGCGGCATCGCTGTTATGCTGGTTGTTTTAAAAAAAAACACCTTACTACTGTCACACCTCTGTACAGTCAACAGTACGACTTCACCTTCAGACTTTGGGTTTCCTGCTTTTAGTCTTACCGTTCTTCAACCGACCTGTCAGGCATGGTAGGACCTTGAGGAACGATTGTTTCAGAAAGTATAGCTCGGTTGGGTTATCACGATAGGCAAGCCCGACCACCACGTCAAGGTAGCAACAACGGTTGGGAAAATAAATGTGAATGATTTTAAATGAACCATTTCATATTATTTACAGTTTGTTATGTAATAAGATAATATAATAAATTAGAGTAGAATAAAAAGATATTGGAGATTTCAAAGTGCATAAAGATTATAAACATACGTGAATTTTATATAATCTTTAATAAGAATTTTTTAATAACTCGTTTCTATAGCAGTCAGGTATCAGTGTTCGGACCCTTAGTTTTTAAAAAGTGTGTAATAATATGGGAAGATATAGGAGGAAAGTTCAAAAAAATTCTGGGGAAATCAGACGTTTAAGTAGTGTTTTTTGCAGACTTTTCGTAACATATACATTTCTTCGAAGTGTTCCCTTCAAATTTTTTACTGTTGTTAAGATTCCTTACTTAAAAAATGATCGCTTAGAACTCTAGTACGAA